GGAGCTGACCCGCGCGCGGGGGCTGACGGGGGGAGAGGGGGTCCCGGGAGGCGTTCCCCGACGAGGGTCGCCCGCGCGGGGCCTTCGTGCTGCACGCCAAAGTCAAGGAGTCAGGCCTCGTCGAGCAGGACAGACGATGGCCCATTGCGGTTCGAAGTCCAGCGCGGGCCCCTGCACCCTATGCCCAGAGGCATGGCGCCGCCATCGCCGGGAGCAGAGGTCGTTGTTCTGCGTGCACCACTGACCCCGCACTGGCCGTGCCGCCCCGGCTTCCTCGGCGGCTGGGCGTCGAGGCCGCGAGCGCGACCTGAAGCGCCACCCACCAAGGTGGAGCGCGAGGCTTGGAAGCACCGCGAACTTGCGGGGCTCGGTCGAAGTGGAACCCCTTCGCCATCCAGGGGAGCGGGGGCGCCATGAGCTGCGTCCGCCACACAGCGCACCCCATGGGGCGCCTGGGCTTCGGAAGCCCCGCACTCCAGCAGGCCCTAGAGATCGAGGAGCTCCCGGAGTCCGCCACAGGCCCCAAAAGCGAAGCGACGCGGGACTCCATGGCGGCAGCCCCGTGCGACAAAGAAGCGCCCCACGTCAGGCACGATGCACGCCGTGACGGGGCCAAGGCGCAGCGATCGACACGAAGGTTGGCCGCAGCCTGGCGCTGCCCCAACACGTTGACGCACAACGAAGGATCGGCCAAGAGGGAGTAGTTAGACTGGTGCAAAACGCAAGTCTCCAACTACATGCAGCACCCAAACTCCGACTGCATCGTCGAGAGGCAGGCGGCCGACCGCGGCTGGCCACAGGAGGCGGCGCGGCAGGCCATGGCGCTGGAGGGAATGGTGCACGGGCCGCGCGGGAAGGCTGCCGCTTCAGCACGGCTTCCAGAGGCTTCATGAACAGCACGAGGAGGTCAATCGTGGAGAACTTCGAGAAAGCACGGCGGGGACAGCACCTCCAGTCATGCAGGCCGTCCGCAGAGGCGCAGCGGCGTCATCCCTCGACGTCGGCGTCGGCCTCAACGCGATCGCCGATATGGCAATGCTCTACAAGGGGATGCTGCACGCCCACACGGGGGAACACAAGGTCCTCACGGTCGGCAGTGCAGTAGGCGCGACGGGGAGGACTTCGCCTACCACGTGGGGTCCTACTTCTGCGACGGCCACGTTAAATCCCACTGGCAGAAGGAGGGCAACCAGCACGCCGACCCCTACGCGAAGAAGAGCGCCCATCTGGCGCTCCCAGACAAACGCCTCGACATTGCCTTCGGCCTCGACGAGGTAGCCAAGGAGGCGGTGCACCTCACGCATACACTACACGCGCACAGGAGGGCCCACATCATCAGGGACCCTGCGGCGGACATCGTCCTGAAGTGCCCGACCTCCAGCCTCGAGGTCGGTGCGGTGGGGGGCGCAGATACCAGGGCGAGGCCAGCCGCGGCAACGGCAGCGGTCGCGGCGGCGGCAGTGGCAGCCGCAGCCTCAGGCGAAGCCGGCAACATCAACGGAGAGGGGCCCGCTTCAGCGCCTGCCGCCAGCGGCCCACCGAGGAGGCGGCAGCAGAGGCAGCCCTCCTAACCAGCAGCCAGCAGCGAGGACGGCGTCATCCCCATGGGGCTTCAAGAACCGCATCCTGGTCCAGCTGCGCCGCATCATCGCTGTCCCGAGGCACCCTGCACCCCAGCCCGACTCGGACCTCGCCGGCCAGAGATGCCACAGCGGCACAGCAGGCTCGCCAGGTCCAGCTTCCACGAGCGGTTCGGTGTTAGCGACAGCGCCACCATCCAGCCCCGGAAGGACGAGCTCAACACGGGCGTGTGGCTCGACACCCGCACGGCGGCCAAGAGGACTTGGAAGCTCGGGAGGCCCGAGACGCCGAGCCTGGGCTGGCAGGAGCTCTTCCACACAGCCTTGACGACGAGAGGCGAGGTCTCCCAGGCAGCCTGCGATCTCGACGGCGGGGCAGGCATCGGAGGGGACGCAACTGCGGCGGCGGCCCCCCCTGCTGCGACGAGGCCAGCGAGTACTGCAGCCTGGACTACCCTTAAATCAGGCCTGTCCCCCTACAGGGGAATTTTCCACGAACAATGAAAAATGCCCCAAAAACACACCAAAAAGCTCAACAAATTCTCAAACATAGTCCCCAGACTACTTTTGGACTATGCTTGGACTATCTCTGGGGTAGTTTGCAGTTTTCGTCGAAAATCCCCGTGGGGGGACAGGCCCCACTTAAGACTACCCCAGCCCCAGCGCCGAACCCGACGGCATCTGCACCTTCGAGGCTCGGGCCGGGCGAAAGGGGGGATAGCAAAGGGGGGGGGGGAGAATCAGCTCACGTGGCTGATTCTCCCGGCGCCTCCCGGCGCCGGAGGCGCCCATGCTGCATGCAGCAGATTTCGAACCCCCCCCTTGCCCAATCCCCCCCTTTCGCTCGGCCCGAGAGGCATGGCCTGCCGCCCACGGTCGCGCTCCGCAGGCAGGGCGCCCGACCCGGCGCGGCAGGAGGCCTCCCGGCGGTGGGCGAGCGAGCGCCGCCGGGCCTGCCGCTCCAGAGGCGACCCCGACGGCCACGCCCGAGAAGGCGAAAGCCCACCCCCACCCCCAGAGGAGGAGGAGGAGGAGGAGGAGGAGGAGGAGGAGGAGGAGGAGGAGGAGAGAGGAAGGAGGAGGAGGAGGAGGAATGGGGGAGGAGGAGGAGGAGGAGGAGGAGAGGAGGAGGAGGAGGAGGAGATGGGGGGAGGAGGAGAAGAGGAGGAGACGGTCCCGACGCCCATCCCCGAGCCGGCGGTTCGAGAGTCGGGACTGGGGGTGGGGGTGGGTTTTTCGGGGTCCAGGGACGAGAAAAAACCCACCCACCCCCCACACCCCCAGTCCCGACCCCCTGGACCGCCGGCTCGGGGGTGGGCGTCGGGACTGGGGGTAGGGGGTGGGCTTTCGCCTCCTGAATGCCCAGCATAGGAAGGCACCAACTATACACCAACACCGATCCTGGCCAGGATCACCCTGGGCCCAGGATCGGTGTATACGCCCTCCTGCCTTGCGCAAGAAGGCATATACACCGATCCTGGGCCCAGGGTGATCCTGGGCCAGGATCGGTGTTGGTGTATAGTTGGTGCCCTCCGACAGGAGGAGGAACCGGTGGCGGTGAAGACCCCTCAGCGCGAGCCAGCCCTCGCTCTCCCTCGGCGCGCGGCTCGCGCACGCCTACCTCGCCCGCGGCACCCGAGCGTGGGGCTCGAGCGTGGGGGGGCCCGCCGGCGGAGCTGGCCACGGGCGCGTCCTGGCCCATCTCGGGAGGCTGCCCGCGACCAGTAGGTGCTCCTCGTGTTGCTCTACTCCTCCTCCTTTTCCTCCTCCTCCTCCTCCTCCTCCTCCTCCTTCATATCCTCCCCCCCCTCCCCATCCTCCTCCACCATCTCCTCCTCCTCCCCCTCCTCCCCCTCTTTCACCTCCTCCTCCTCCTCCTTTTTGTTCCTCCTTCTGCTTGACTCCACTCTACAACACTCCGACGCCGACTCGATTCTGCTCTAGCATACCCTGATCTGCTCTACTCTGCTCTCCTCTACGCTGCCCTGTTATCCTGCCCTACTTTGTCACATTCCCTACTCTACTCCCATGTACTCTCCCCCACGTTACTCTACGCGACTCTGTTCCAATGTACCCAACTCTACTCCAATATCTGCTCTACTCTAGTCTACTCCACTCCACCTTTCTCCACGCCTAGTCGACTCAATCATACTCCATTGTCATGCTTATTATATGCCTACTCTTCTCTGCTCTACTCTACTCTACCCTATTATGCTCTGTTCTACTCATCTACCATTGTCTACTCTACTCTGCTCTACACTACTCTGGCATGATTCTGAGTTGAACGTTTGTCGGACAATTGTTGGGACGTCATTGGAATAGCCAGAGGAAGCCACTGCAATAGCAGAGGAAACTATTGCAATAGCAGAGGGAGCAAATGCCTTAGTTTGACGCAAAATAGACTGGGGGTACACGGGACCTGTCCTCCATGGATGAAGCTAGGACTCCTACAAGCAAGGCTGCTTGAAAAAGAGCACCGGAAAGCAGAACCCGCGAGGGCGATGTTCTGAACCCACACGCTGAGAGGGGGGGGTCGGCCCTAGCAACCCTAAAGAAACCTTACAGGACGGACACCAGAGTTTTGTCATACGCCCCAAAGTGCCGCTGACACGGTGGCGGATATCGGCGACGGCTCCCGAGAAGCATATATATACACATATATATATATATATACAAGACTGCAGAGGCGCTTCGCGCCATGCACCTTGGTCCTTGAAGTTTGGCATGCAGGCGGAATAGCAGGAAAGTCAAGCCGACAATTTAGCGATAACTCCCGGTTGCCTTTTCCGGCATCGCCGCTATAATAATTGTGTTCGTTATCCTTCCTCCATGCTTCGATTTCCTTATTTTCGCCATACCCTGCGCATTCTCCCCATCCTCCTAGGCTCTTTTTTGCGGAGGCTCCTCCTTGGAGAGCCTCTAGGGGCCTTACAAAAGTTGTTTCAGGCTCTCTTACAGCATTCTGGAGGCCTCCTGGGCGTATTCTGGGGGCCTCCGGGGGCTTCCTCGGGCCACCCTGCCTCCAACCGCGGTCCCCCTGAATGACCGAATCACGATTTGGAATTCTTCGGAGGGTGTCTTTGGGCCATCTTGGGCCGCCATGGGGCTCTCTGAGGGCCATCCTGGACCCGTGTTGTGCCGTTTTGGGGCTCTCTTGGACTGCCTGGAAGCCCTTTCGGATGGGTGTGGGGCGATTTGGGAGCCTCCCAGGCGGCTTCGGACGCCCAGAAGACCGCCGTCTTGGAGCGTCGGGAAGCCGAAAAGAGGAGAACCCAAAATTCACCCAACACCCACTGCAAATCAACGATTTGTGCCTCGGGGGGCCTTCTTTTTTTATTTTTTGTTCCGGCAGCTCACTGCACCGAAACCCGACGCGGACTGTAACATCGCCAGGCGACGGGAGACTCACCGGAGCGGAGCTCACAAGCGGCGAATGCGCTCCCCGCGCGTGGAGAGCGCGGCTCCGCGGGCGCCGCAGGCGCGCGCCAGCGAGCCTGCGGAGGGCGCCTGTCTGCCCTCCGCTGGGTGGGCCGCGCTGCCTCCTCCTCCCTCCTCCCCCTCCTCCTCCCTCCTCCTCCTCCTCCTCCTCGACTTAACCTCCTCCTCCTCCTCCTCCTCCTGCTCCTGCTCCTCCTCCTCCTCCTCCTCCTCCTCCTCCTCCCTCCTCCTCCTCCTCCTCCTCCTCCTCCTCCTCCTCCTCCTCCTCCTCCTCCTCCTCCTGGCTCTTCCCAGGCGCCCCGCGGCCTGGGCCCTCTGGGCCCGCATGAAGAAATCACGACGGACGACTTTTCGGAGGTGTGATGCGAGCGATGGAAGTGTGAGAGCGCCGGCCCTGAGCCGCTCAAGAAGGCGGCGGCGACTGTGACCGTCACCGTTTTCTTCCGGCACCTCCTCGCCTCCGTCCCTCCTCTGCGCACTCTCTCTCATGGATCAGGGCGGCCTTCTCCTCTGGGTCGTCGGGCCAAGCCATCATTAGTCTGACGAGCGTCTTGTCCAAGCAACGAGGCAGGTAGGGTCGCTCGACCGGCAGCGAAGGCAGCAATGCTTCCATCAACTCCAGGCTGCTTGTAGTCTTGTGAACTTTGGTTGCGTGCGCCTCGCCCACTCTGTTCGCCAATTCTGTGACGTCCTGAATGGAGATCGTGCTGTCCACGTAGAATTGCGACAAGTCCCGCGACAGACCGATCTGAATACTGCGCAGCCTGAGCATCTTCCTCGGCTCGTGGCGACCGTGCGCACCGTTCCCAGAGAACAGGTCACGCTCTGGGTCCCACTGCACGCGCCCCTTGCTTCCCCCACCCGCGTGCTTGCACTGGCACCAGGTCAGGAGCTTTGCGACGGCCGAGTGCGACAACTTGGTCTTCAAGACTCGGCTCTGCTTCTTGTCCTTCCAACCGTACCCGCTGCGGTACAGCACCCACGCGAAGCTCGGCTTGATCCACGTCATGCGCGTGGGGTTGAACATAGGTCCGCCGAACCGCTGGTGCTGCAGGGCATAGTCGGCGATCTCGTCGGAGAAGGCCTGGTAGAAATACACGCCTTCGGCGTCCCACTCGGCGTGAAAAACGTGGACGCCGTCGTGGACGACCTCGTAGTCCAAGATGCCGTTGTTCTGCTTGTACTCTTCGATCAGCTGGTTGAGAGACGGGCTCGTGGCGGAGGTCTGGGCTTCCTTGGCGCTTGGGCTCGGCCCCCTGGCAGTCTGCTTCATCCTGCTGGGCTTCGGCGAAAAGTCCCAATCACCATCATGTATCGGCGTGTCGGCTATCGACCCGCACTGGGCTTTCACACCCTCGTCCACATCGTCGACAATTTCCCCTGATCGGGCGGAGGAATGTTGCGAGGAGTCCCCGTCTGGGTTGACCCCTGCTTCGCAGTTTGGTTTGATGTCCAGTCCTGTCTGGCCCTCCGCCATTCCAGCCTCTTGCGATGTGTTCCTGAGCAGGGCGGCTTGAGCTAGAGACGACTTGAGCCAAAATGGCTACGGATGCCTCGGGGGGCCTTCTTGGGGGTGCTTTTGGAGGCCTCTTTGGGGCCATCTTGAGGTCACGTCGGTCACTCTTGGAGCGCTCTTGTGCTGTCTTGGGGGTCTCTGGGACGTCTCCGATGACCTCCCTGATCGCCCTAGGTGTGCCGGGAAGGCTTGGCAAAACGCTCTGCGAGGCCCGGTGGCCGCTTCGAGGCCCGTCTGGAGGGTCCCAAAGCCCCAGATCCCGGGAGTCTGTTTTTTTTGTTGGGGGGGGGGACGGGTTTTCCCCCCGCCCGGACTTATAAAAATAGAGGAAGAAGAATATAGCGAAGTCGCATGTTCCTGCCCGGCGGGGAGCCCCGGGGGGGAGTGAGAAGGGGCGGGCCTTCTCAGGAGGCGCGGAAGGCCCCCAGAGCACCGAGAAGATGTCTACGCGCCTCCCCCGAAGACGCGGAGAACGTCCCAGAAGGCGCGGGGGCCTCCGAGAAGCTCCGCCGCCGTCCGAGAAGGCCTCCTCCCTCTCTCGGGTCGGGCGAAAGGGGGGGATAGCAAAGGGGGGGGGTGAGAATCAGCTCACGTAATTCGCTGACTTTCCCGGCGCCTCCCGGCGCCGGAGGCGGCCATGCATCGAGAAATGGGCCCCTCGGCGAGGCCCAAACCAGCTGCATGCGGCAAATTTCGTACCCCCCCCTTTCCCAATCCCCCCCTTTCGCCCGGCCCGACTCTCGCTTTCCCCCCCCCTCGCTCGCCGCCGAAGAGCGGAACCTCGTGGGGTCCAGGTGGCCTTCGTGGGTCGGCGCGGCACCTTCCCCCCCCCCCCACACACACACACACACACACACACACACACACACACACACACACACACACACACACACACACACACACACACACACACACACGCCGTCCCCCGACGCGCGCTGCGTGGGAACGGCCCGGCGCCGACCAGAGAAGCCCGCGCGCACCTCCAGAACCTTACGCTTACGCTGTTCACGGAAGAATCCCATCCGAAAACTCACAGACAGCCCCTCCGACAACCCGGACAGACCGTGCTGAGGAACGACGACAGGGCGGCCTGCCCCGGCCAGCCCCGCGGACAGCCCAGCGGGGAGTGTGGACAACCCCCCTCCTCCTCCGTCTCCTCCTCCTGCTCCTCCTGCTCCTCCTCCTGCTCCTGCTCCTGGTCCTCCTCCTCCTCCTCCTCCTCCTGCTCCTCCTCCTCCTCCGCCTCCTCCTCCTCCGCCTCCTCCTCCTCCTTTGGACAACGCCCCTTGGACGAGCCTCCTCCCCGCGACTGTTCGCCCATCCCATGTGGTGGCTCGTCTGCGTGGGGCGGCGAGCTGCCGGCGAGCTGCATTCGCCCCGCGGCCCTCGACTGCCGGTCACCTCGAAGCCCTCCAGGGTTGCTGGCGCTCCTCCTCCTCCTCCTCCTCCTCCTCCTCCTCCTCCTCCTCCTCCTCCTCGGCCTCCTCATCGGCCTCCTCCTCCTCCTCCTCCTCCCTCCTCCTCCTCCTCCTCGGCCTCCTCCTCCTCCTCCTCCTCCCTCCTCCTCCTCCTCCTCTTCCTCCGCCAGTCAGCTCGAAGCCCTCCAGGGTTGCTGGCAAGCTCTCCGAGCCGCGGCGGGCCGCGGCGACGAGGGCCTCCAGAGACGCCCGAAAACCTCCCAGACGGCGACGACGACGACGACGAGTACGTCTTGACCCGAAGTTCTATGGGGACCCGGCCGTGGCCGCGAGAACGCACCAAGGGCCCCAGAGAGGCGAACCGAAGACCTCGATCCGCAACGCATCGAGGCCCCCCCAAAAACAGCCGAGCGGACGACGAGGCGCCGAACAGCACGGACCCTCGATACTCGATACCGAAAGTCCGCCCGAGACTGGTTCCCAGATCCCTCCTGGCTTCCATCCTGGATGACGACGACCACCAGCACCACGGCGGACAACGGACGATGCCCGACGGACGACCTACAGACGACGGACGACACACTACGACGACAAGGACGACCATGACCCCCCTTCACGAATCGACCCCCAGACCGACGGCGGCGGAGGCGGCCGCGGCAGCGACAGCGGCGGCGACGACGACGACGACGACGACGACGAAGACGACGACGACTACGACGGCGACAACGGCGGATGACGACGACGGCGGACGACGACGACGACAACGACGACGACGAAGACGACGACGACGACAACGACGACGAGGACGAGGACGAGAACGACGGCCGCGGCGGCGGCCGTGGCGGCGGTGGCGGCGGCGGCGGCGGCGGCGGCGGCGGCGGCGGCGGCGGCGGCGACGACGACGACGACGACGACGACGACGACGACGACGACGACGACGGACGACGACGACCGACGACGGACCACGGACCACGGACGACGGACAGACGACAGACGCAGACGACGACGACGACAACGCCCGACGACGACAACGCCCGACGACGGGCGTCGGCCGACGGCACGAGGGACGAGAGGGGGGAGACAGAAGCGGGAGGGACGACGACGGCGACGACCGCGCACGCCCGTTGGCGGGGGCGCTGGGCGGCAGCGGGCCGCCCCGCGCCGGCCTGCAGCCGCGGGTCGCCCGCGCCCTCGGCCCCAGCCGCGGCCTCCTCGGCCGACGCGGCGACCACGGCCCGGGCGTCCATCGCCTCGGGTTAGGTTGTTCCCATCCTACTCAAGGGCCACATCCCAGAAATGATTTCGAGCACCCAGGACAGTGTCGAAAGAGTGTCGAAAGAGTGTCGAAGCAGGGTCGAAACAGTGTCTCCCAGGGCCCGGCACGTGACAACCCTCGAGTTTTTGGGGGGCTTCTTTTCTGGCGCTCGAAATTCCTTCTGGTGATCAAGGCTAAAGCAGGTTGGAACATCATAAGCCTCGGGCAAGGGAAAGAGCATGCGGAGAAGGCACGGCGGGAAAAGCACTGCCGTGGAGACGCTCCGTCCCCGGGGTCGGGGCCCTGCCCAGGCCCTGGGGGCAGTGAGGCCCGTCCTCCTCCTCCTCCTCCTCCTCCTCCCTCCTCCCTCCTCCCTCCTCCCTCCTCCTCCCTCCTCCCTCCTCCCTCCTCCCTCCTCCCTCCTCCCTCCTCCTCCTCCTCCTCCTCCTCCTCCTCCTCCTCCTCCTCCCCAGGGTCGCGAGTCGAGACCACTGGGGATGCACGCCGTGAGCGAAAAAATCACGGCCTGTGGGAGCATGGGGCAGGAAGGGCCCGAAATCACGGAAAGTGATGAGGGCCGTCTTGGCCATGTCTTCTGCCTCGCAGGCGTGCCGCGCGCTGCTTCTCTGCGTCACAGTCGGGCGCTCTGTCATTCTGCTGTTTTGTCCGAAGGAGTGCCAACTGCGCACTCATCTGCCCGCGCGTCCTGCAGGAAAACTGGCTCAGTGACGGCAGTGGTCCCCAAGGGCTGGCGCATAGCTTCTGGTCGCTTCGGCGTCTGGATGCCGCTTCC